GTGTCCCGCAGAAGACTAGTCCGAATTTCTGGATTGCTAGTCCATTGATATGACCATTATGTCATGATCTTCCTCAAACTTGTGAGTTGTGAATCACAAGTGCATCATCTCAAACCATCTCTGCAGCAGCTGAACATTTCAATATGTTTCATGGCTTTTCAAGCAAATAATGAGCACATATGCACATGTAGAGTAGGGTTAGGGTTAGGGTTAGGGTTAGGGATTGGCATTCTTTGGCATTCTGATATTCAGCAACAGATCTGTGCCCTCTCAGTGTATTACGTTTTCGACTTGAAAACAATAGAACTGTTTCTTTGAGCAAACATGGAATTGCAATCTTGCTTATTTTGCAAACATCCCTTACCATGTAAGTGCAACAGGAACACAAGAACATGACATGGAAACATAGACAATAGGAGCAGGAGTAGACCATTCATCCCTTCGAGCCTGCTTCATCATTCAATATGATCGTGGCTAACCATCCTTAATCCCTTCAGCTTTAAGAACTATATCTAACTCCTTTTTGAAAATATTCAAAGTACACTTGGCTTGGCAAATCTATTAATTCTGCAGATGCTGCAAGACATATAGCATACTTCCTGCATTTTCTGTTTTTAGCTCAGGTTTCCAGCATCAGTAGTATTTTGCTTTTGTAAATTTTTACATAGTTGAGTTCTGCCAGAACATTATTAGTTTCCTGGTTCAACAGAATTGGGAAGGGCTGGTCACAGATACTAGAGAGAAAAAAATGTACTTCTAAGATCATTGAAATGATGGTTGAATGACTTATTCAAATACATAATAGAGAGTGAATGACATTTTCACAGTCTACAACATGGGAACCCCAACCACAGAGAAATTAAGCAGAATACACAGTTACCTCTGCAACTAGGTGCCTGCCCTAGTATGCTGTTAGCATGAATTGGGGGTTGACAAAATGAGGGCTTGGATGAAGAGGTCAGTGACAAGAAAAATTGATTTAATCTACATGGGAGCAAAAATACTTTAACTGCAAGTTGACAGAGCCTTCTGTCTATGTATACTCCATGGGCAAGGATTCTTTGGCATTCTGATATTCAGCAACAGATCTGTGCCCTCTCAATGTATTACCTTTTCTACTTGAAAACAAAAGAACTGTTTCTTTGAGCAAACATGGAATTGCAATCTTGCTTATTTTGCAAACATCCCTTACCATGTAAGTGCAACAGGAACACAAGAGCATGACATGGAAATATAGACAATAGGAGCAGGAGTAGACCATTCATCCCTTCGAGCCTGCTTCATCATTCAATATGATCATGGCTAACCATCCTTAGTACCTTAATTCCACTTTTGCCCCATACACTTTGATCCGTTCAGCTTTAAGAACTATATCTAACTCCTTTTTGAAAATATTCAAAGTTTTGGCCTCAACTGTTTTCTGAGCAGAGAATTCTAGAGGCTCGCCACTCTCTGGCTGACGAAATTTCTCCTCATCTCTATCCTAAATGGCCTACCCCATATCTTTAAATTGTGACCCATCTAGTTCTGGACTCTCCAGCCATTGGGAACATCCTTCCTGCATCTACCCTATCTAGTACTGATGGAATTGTATATGTTCCTATGACAGCCTATTAGGAGCAGGAGCAGACCATACATGTCCTCAATCTCCCTGACTCTTTATAGGCCCCACCCCGATCTTGCTCGACAATTCAATACAATCATGACTGGTTCAAGAGCCATTGCAATATTCGGATTTGCCAGTTAATCAGCCTTTTGCAGATGGCATATCTTGATCGCAATTTCTGCACCGAAGTAAAGATGGTAGAGACAGACCTGTTCTCATATACCTAGATAGCAATGGAGTGTAGATCTGAGCACTTGGATAATAATGGAAAGGCATGCACTACCTTTGGTACTGTTGAACAGGACCATATTGAAATTGTCTTATCAAGTTCCTGCAGCATAGATGAGAACATGCAAAACAGGTTGTATGCAGCAGTAATTAAGAATCCTTGCAGGAACCTCTTGCCTAGCATGCTGAAAGCTTCAGCGAAAATGAACAACCAAAAATCTATGTGGGATGTTAAGCACTCACTGCGCTTTGCAGAAGTTTGTAAAATTCAACATGAGGCCTTATTTTACTTATTGCTGCATTTAAATCAGGTTCCCTCGGTCTCCTTTGGCCCTTGAAAATGGCACCTCGCAAAATTCAGCACATTACAAATCGCATGCACAGCTGCTGCCATCTGATTTCATGAACTGCGTGGCTCTTCAATGATGTTGTGGGATGCCAATAAAACCTTGTGAAATCTGGGCTCATGTATAAACAGAACACTCCAGATGGTACTTCTGTTTTAATCCAACTCTTTATTAACAGCAAGAATAAAAGAAAGAACACGTCTTTGCAGGGGCCGACTTATCACTCAAGGAGAGAGGCGTTGATTTCACACAAGGCGGCCTACATTGAATTACTTTCTTAAGAATTATGTTCCATCTTTATGTTGGTCCCCAGGTAAATCTAACCGGGGTCACTTTATGATTGTGAGGGGAAGGGACATTGAATACACCCACTTCCTTTGTTTTTTTTTATAAACTATTTGCTTCTCCATTGTGAAGTGTGCAGTGAGCCTGAAGAAAAAGGCAGGCCAGCCTGGCACCATTGCACAAATCAAAGGCAGCTCACAACTGGAGGTCCAGATGTACATTCGAAATTAGGGATGTGCCTGGGTGCACTTCCACACACAGTGCATAATGTAACCCTTGGCGGGTTGTAGGTAAAAGGCGGTGATAGTCAATGATTGGAACGAGTGGCAGTTAGGTCTAGGACAAACTATAAAGGACACTGTGAGGAACAGGGATTTCACAGATGGCATACAGGACCTTAGAAGCAGAAAATGGAAGAAAAAACTGGGACAAACAGGAAGGAGTTCAGATTCAAGTACCAGGGCAGTCTGTTTATATTGTAGTAAAATTTGTGATAGGAGGATTATGACTCAGTTGTAGTATTTGCCTCAGAGGGCTAAGAAAGTTCAGGTTGAATGCACCATTGCACTTCAGCTGGTACTTTATAATAACTTGATCTGCAATTATCCAGTTTCTACAGCTCGTAGTGACCCGTATCGCAGGGCTGCATCACATTGCTTCTTGCATCTGTTTCTGGCTGAGCTCCTGAGACACACTTTGTTTATCAGATACTGGGTTGATCAAATCCAGGGAACTGTGATAGTAATGGTAGGAAATGCATCATTTGACACCATCCCTTATTTACATCTATTTTGAATGTTTGGGCAGAAGCATTCAATATTTGCTGTGACTGAGAATCATAAAATCCCTATGGTGCAGGTAGAGGCCATTTGGCTCATCGAGTCTGCACTGACTCTCCAAACAGCATACCACCCAGACCCATCCCCACCCTCACATCCTATTCCCGTAACCCCACATGAGGTTTTTATGCCTTGGCTAACCCACCTAGCCTGCACATCCCCAGACACTATGGGACAGGTAGCATGGCCAATCCACCCAACCTGCACATCTTTGGACTTTGGGAGGAAATCAGAGCACCTAAGCAAAAACCTTGGGTTTTTTGTGCAAATCCCACACAGTCACCCATGGCCAGAATCAAGCCCAAGTCTCTGGTGCTGTAAGGCTGCAGTGCTAGCCACTATACCACTGTGTTGCCCTGGTGTC